ATTTAAAGAAACTCCTAACCATCAGTAATAAACATCAGAATGTGAATTGGGTTTCAATGATGAATACAAAGTTCAAAAGAATTCTTATGGAATATTATATTATAAATGTCTTTACTTTCCCTTTTAATCCATTTAAAGCTCCCTTGCTGAATAAAAGTATTTATTTTTATAAAAAATAAAATCTTTTGAACAGGCCTGTAATAATCTATTTCTACCTTATTCTAAACAAATAATTATGACTGAACTATAAAATGTTATCTTTTTAATAATGCAAAAAACATATGGGCTGCGTTTTGTTTAGTTGACCAGCATCAGTGCTTTAAATATAGTGATAGATGTCATCTGAGTGAGCACAGAAAGGCTAATCATACTGCAGTTGTAAATAAATATTATGGGTGATGATGATGATGATATAATGACTGGACACTCACCACTCCCTGCAGGGTCGGCGGGATCAGGCCACAGTACACGGGGATGTAAGCACTGCATATACACGCCTGGACAGGTAAGAACAAGGGCTTTGGACATGAATCCACAATAATACTGTAATCTATTTACTGTAAATATCTTGAATTCGTGATTGTTTACAGCTATGTGAGCTGATTACCACTACACCTGATTGATTGTGGTTTAGTGTGTGTGTGTGTGTGTGTACACACCTGCACGAGCTCCTCGTTGCTGTTGAAGTGTGACACCAGCACGTTCTCGCCGTCCGTGACGCGTGTGAGAGAGATGCCGAGGCGTCCGCTGGCCCTGCTGTAGCTGTCGGCCGGGAGCGTGCGGTGGAGCATGACCCGGATGATCTTCACCAGGTTAAAGGCGGGGTGCATGGGCGCCAGGAAGCGCTTTCGGGCTTCTTTAGCCACGTCAATGATGTTGGCTCCGGCCTCTCCTGTCACAGGACCCGAAAGAGAGCAGTCAAGGATCACAGCAGCGACAGGTGGATGTTGTGTCACACAAGGATTTAATCTTTGACACAGATGCCACCAACAAAAAAGATTTTTTTCATACCGTATTTTCTAATCACTTTCTCATTACTGTAATGTGAGTATAATGAAAATGAAAAAATAGTTATTTACTATTTAATTTAATGTTCTGATATATATTTTTCATAATAATTAACAACATTTTCCAATCAAATTCTCAGTGCTGTGATGTCGAGATGTTTTATTAGTAACATGTTAATATTTATCTTGTTGATACCATTGTTTTTTAAACATGTACTATGGTAGTACCAACGTTATTTTGAAAATGCTTTCCAGAACTATAAAATGTCATGGTACAATGGTAAATCTAACAAATAAATCTAAAACAAAATACCATGATATTATTATCTGGTTCCTAACCCTTAATCAAATAATACCATGTTTTTGCCATGTAAAATATGAAACATCATAGTAGTGATGGTACTGAAAATTCCGGTATTTACATATTGTAAGGTAACTGTTAGCCTACTTGCAGGGTAAATGTCCAAAAAACACTGAATTGCCATGACACTAAGTACTTTTTCTTGTGAATATGAAAGTGTGTTTACCCAAACAGGCCCCGCTGACCAGCGCAGAGGCCGTGAGCGCGCCTGCGCTCGCGCCGTATATGTGACGCGCATTCTCCACCAGAAACGGCGCGTGCTCCTGGAGCGAGCTGGCCACTCCGATGTGATAAATACCCAGAAAACCACAGCCAGCGAAAGAAATATTCCACGGAGAGTCGATAGGGAACATGATATTTCCTCTTCTGGAAAACAAATCTTCAAATAAAGTTAATAAATCCCTCTGGTTACTTTCGTTTACAGTCTTCCGCGCGCTTGACGCACCGCGGACAATCCATACAAGACATTAGAGTCTAACGCTTGGGTTATAATAACTACCTAAACACTAACGTCCTGCGGTTAAAAAGTTTCTAAAGTGATGAACAATTATTGACACACGCCTCTTGAATGGACATCTGCTTTCTCCGGTAGCTTGTTAAATAACTGTGCGTTCAGTAACCGGTGTTTTGACTTGCTCCTCCGTCACCGTCAGGGGTCACAAACATCATTAGGGAGGGGCGTATTGACATTGGGCGTGGCTCAGGAGATAGTAGCCAATCAGAGGCTGCGCTTTGGACCCCTTAGCTGTCATTTGAGATGTTTCCTCGACTGTGTTCCAGTTGTCACGCGCCCTTATCAGTTTTGTTGTTGCATTGATTTTTTTTTTGTTCGTGCATTATGACGTAAGTCTGTGAGGTCATTCAGCTTTTTAAATGTGGAAATAGGCCTAGTTTAAACGCTCTGTTCTTTGTATTTCATGTGGTTGTTAATTAAATTAAAAAAAGGCCTAGTTTAAACAAATTTCACATAATTAACCACATTTCCCCCTGGAGAAAAATGAGACACTAATTGTAATATGTTTAATTTTTACGTTTTTTTGACATGTTATCATGGTGAAAGTTTAACCATGCTATTTTAGGCTATGCAGTACCAAGGTCATTTTGAAAGTGCTTTCCAGAACTTTAAAATGTCATGGTACTGTACAATGGTTAATCTAAAAATGCCGTGGTATTATTATCTAGTCCCGTTTTGTAATATGTTATATGGTATTTAAATGGTGCCCCAATCAGATTATACCATGTTTTTACCATGCAGAATATCTATAAACATGTCCTTATGCAAAAAAAATAAATCAATCAATCAATGCAGAGGTATCATGTAACAGTGATTTGGGACAGGTGTGCATATGTTATGGTGATAATATGGTATTTTGAAATTCACCATGGTACTAAAGTTCCTGCATTTACGTGGTGTTGCAAGGTATATTCTGTGAAACTTTTGCATTTTAAATAGTTTAAACATGAAACATGATTTTCTATGATTTTTCACTTAAAAATCTACTTTTGCATGATCCTCATACTGTTAGACTTTTGCAGAAAATCCATTAAATAGCCTATAACACATTAAGTAAACACACTGTACTTTCAATACCAATTTTTAATATCAAAAGTGTTTACTCTTATGAAATGAGTGTCAATAAACAGCAGCTAGTCCATACTGTATGTTATTTTAATAGTGTTTTCCACCTTTGTACAGTGTTTTACAACATTACCAGGGATCCTCCCAAATGACATGGCTTTAAAAAATGTGCTCTCTGGGGATTTCGAGAGGACAGATTACTCTGCAATGAACTGTTTTGTTTGCCATGTTTTTCTGATATATTTAATCTTGTGCATGCACTCGTGGGACACGGGAACGTTCCCGCTTAAATATGTGCTTTGGGACGTTAGAGAGTTCAAGGTTCACAGGGATGACACACACACACACACATTACCTAAAATGAAACACCACGATTCCAAATCACATTTCTGGGCATCTTTCCTGAAATTGTTTTCAGGAACATTACAGCTTGTCCAAAAACACCACTTTCATAACATTTAGATATTTGTATGTTATAAAGTCACAAATATTATTATTTATTCACAAATAAATGTATTTAAAAATGGCCTGAAGGTTGTAGTTAAATATAAGTATACTTTGAACTTTTACTTGTGTTAAAAATAACAGAATAAATGGTTTATCATGCAAAAGATATGTCAATAACTATTTTTTTTTAATTCAGCATTGAAAATTTAAGTTAAAATGTATATCTTATGTCCTGTGACTGGTCATCATTTCTTTTAAGTTTTTCACAATGTGTAATTTATTATTTTTAGTTTTGCCTCTACCAGATCCTGTGTGGAAAAAGTGCAAATATTCCATGATGTCTTTGTTTAAAATAAACATGTGTAATAAGTAGAACAGGACTATTTTGCTTAAAATTGAAATCAGAATGCACTTGATTATAATATGAAAATAAAATGATAACACTGTATACAGGACAACTGTATCCAAACATAGGCTCGATCTGGGTGCGGTGGATATTTTTAGGTCTCAATGAATGTTCCTAAAGTGTGTGTTGAAATGACAACAGCAAAACTGTATCCTTTGGCCCACATCTGAACAACAGAATCTCAAGGAGAATATTTTCCTGTGTACTTTAGTGAGGTCAGTCATGGGCATTTCCTATAAAGATATTAGAATCAATACTTTGATAATTGATATTCTGCCTTGAACTCTCACTGGACATGTTCTGTTAAAAAACACATGCATACATATATCTTTCTCAGACAGCAGTTCATTATTTTCTATCAAAATAAAATTCTTTGGATGCTCAGATGTTCATCTCATCCCCCACTTTCATTCCCTCATGAGAAGGATATTTATCCTTGATTTATCCGGAGTCTCAGTGGATTAAACCAATCCTACACCTCAGCTGGAGTAAAGCGGACATGTTGAGACATGCATAAAAACACAAGCATCAGCAGAGGTTGATAATGCTTCATTTCATTCGCTCATACACAAACAGACAAGTGACATTTATTATGCTATTATATTGGGATTGTTCACAAAAATCTAAATTCTGTCATTATCTCACCCAGGTAATTCTAATCTAAACTTGTATTAAATTCCTTCTTAACATAAAGGGAGAAATTTTGAAGAATGGTGGTCAGTTGCTGGTCCCCATTGACTTCCACAGAATCTGCACATGCTTGCCAACATTCTTAAAAACCTTTTCTTTTTAAGAAATTAATGCAGGTTTTGACTTAATTTTCCTTTCAGGGTTAACTATCCCTAGTTGTTTATTTTTTAGCTGTCACTGTCTCTTTAAGAGATCTCCTCCCGCCCTTTGCTCAAAGTTCCGCGGTGTGTGTGTGTGTGTGTCAACACGAAACATGTGCATGAACACGGAAGTGAACTTATTGTATTCAACAGATATAAATGTATAAAATTAATATTACATTTCGGTTCTGTAAGTGTTAGTTTAATAGAATGCGCGAGCCCGTTTATTGTTTGAGCGTCACAGAAACGTCACGTCCATCAAGAAATACGCGCCTAAAATCCTGCATTGTAGGTAAGTTAAGTGTTTATCGCTCAGTTTAACGATTTAAGTGATCATTCAGTCAGACTGTTACTAGTTAAGGTGATCTAT